CTTGTTATTCACCGCACTGGAATAGGTCATATCCGAATGAATGACAGCCACTGAATCTCTCCAAGAGGACGTCTCATTTGAATTAGAAACGTTAAACTTTGCTGTGTTCGAAATCCTGAGTGTTTGCGTTTTCACTTTGGAGTCATTGCGTTTCAAGTGTTCCCTCCATTTGAAGTTGAAATTGATTAAACTCAAATAAAAAAGAGACGAAGAAAGTATCAGAAACGACAAACATAGAAAGTATTTTGGCTTCCATCCCATTGTGCGAGAAGCGACTTTCTAAATGTAAATAGAGGATTTGCAACCACGCAAACCGGTCAGCGTAAAACTCAGACTGCGGACGGTAAGTACTTGGTGTAATCCTTAATGTATGTTAATGAATGCAAATGACCATGTATTCTCATATGTTCTTCTGTATTGATGCATGTATGAAGGATTGCACCAAGTACCTACCCTGCGGACTGAAAACCGGGAGTAAAACGCAGACTGGGGGTAAAATGCAGACTGCAGACCATAGTTAAAATGCAGACTGAGGGTAAAATAAAATATTAAGAATAAAAAACAAGACTTGGAAGTGATCCTACCTGTAACTGTAATTTTTTTTTCAAAATCCCGAAAACTCAAACCAAAAGGCGTTTATTCGCCTTAGTCAAACATATTATCAACCTCGAGTTCTTGAACTCCCCATTTTGTTGAACAAAGTTTCCCAAAAGCGCCCAAACTGATCGTAACGCTATGCATCATATCTTTGTTTACATGTCGGTCATTTTGAATTGTTCTTTCGCGAATAGGTCTGGGATCGAGTAACTCTTTCAGCGTTCAAATTCTTCATATGGCCTTGGAATTGTTTGGAAGACAAGGCAAGCAAAACACGACAGCACAACAACAAGGCAAGGTAAACTTGTGGGTATCGAGCATAGTTTCGCGGAATTTGCTCTCCGCACACGCTGGTTCAACAAACGAGGACTGTATGCTTTCTTTTAAAGTGCCACTACGACCAAAGTTTTTGTCGCTGGTTTTGACATTATTCATCTGTTACTTCTCTTTTTAAGCAAATATAATCTTTCGGGGATGGATATATTTCTTCTACTGGCTTAGTTTTGTCTGGACCTTTTTGCTTTTTCCACTCACATTGGACGTCCGTTCTGCTTATATTATGGATGCAATAAATTGCAAGAGCCGCAGCATGGCTACATTTATACTCTCCACGAGGACAATTACACTGCGTTGATGATATTTCACTGCCATGAAGGTTGATCTATTAAAAAAAAAGTCAAATAAATAACAAATCTAAAAATCTGAAGAATTCATTTAAATTAAGCGTCGTGTTCGCTAAAGTTTTACTCACTGTTACTTTATAGGACTTGTTCTTCATGCTAGCTTGGACAGACCCTCGAATAATTCCGTCAGAATAATAACAAGACTCAATATGACCCGATTTGTAATGATTTTCGCCACGCTGAATCCTTGAGGATTCATCAGAGAAGAAAGAAGTGAGTGAACTTATCGAAATGGCCGCCATGTTGAATCCACGCTGGTTTGTTTAGAACCAGCAAAAAGTGCCTCCATGGTAACGTGACGTCACACTTCGGTACTCTATATAGACGCTATTCTAGCGGAGAATCCGCCGGGGGAACAGAAGCCGATTTAGTTTTAAAAGTGCTGAAGCGAGAAGTCATTCCATCGGCTAACAACGGGGAGGGCTTAACTGCAGAATACCCTGCCAATCTTTTACATTTCATTCAATAAGAATAGCCTCTATTGTAAAGAACGAAGCAAACACAGTAGAGGCTATTCTTATTCAATGACATGTAAATGATTGGTAGGGTTTTTCTGCAGTTGCTTCCGGGGAGAATGAAGCAGCACTTCCTGCAGTAGTCTCCCTCGCAGCCGTTTTTTTTTTTTTTTGGATGTCACGCAACGCTCCCCCCTCAAAAAAAAGGCTGCGAGGGAGACTATTCCAGCAGAGGAACAGAACGACAACAGTTTTCAATATGAAGCGACTCTGAGGCGCATTTCAACATCAGAACACCCGTCCACCTCATTAACATGTGTCGGGAGGCTTCGAAGAATGAGAAGAATGAGGCATAACACATTAGGTGGTTTGCAACCATTCTCTAGAGACACAGG